GATTAATTATAATCATTAAATTAATATGTATATTTTTATATTTATAATTTTACTCTATAAATATATTCAAAAGTTATAATAAATTATTAACTTGAGATTAATAAAGTTAATAAAAATAATAATTCTTCAAAATTTAGAACAAATTATTAATTAAAATTATTAAATTTAATATGTATATTAATTATGATTATTATATAAAAATTTAGTTATAACAAATAAATTAATTTTATTAAATTATTTATCTAATAATTATTAATTAAATTAAAAATTAGATTTAATTATTATATTTTAGGTTAGAAGAGGGGGAATTGAGAAAAAAAATCATTTCCCCTAGGCGTACAACGGAAATGAGAAAAAGAGGGAGGATTGAGCGAAAAATGAGAAAAAATAAGGAGGACTGAGCGGCAAATGAGAATTTAATATAATTAAATAAATGTGTTTCCATAAACTATACAAATGATCATTATATCTTGAGTAATTTTCGTTTTTTTCATTAAAGTTTCAAAAGTAATGCATTGATCACTAATGTTATCTATCTATAATAAATTGGTCACTAACATTGATTTATAACAAATTGGTCACTTATGAATGCATGTACAATGTATTTATTACTTATTAGTCCTTAAAATTATATTTTTTATTTAAAATCGGCACAAAATCATTTATATTTTTTTTAATTTACTCCAAACCATATAAATTACATCATAAACTTTATTTCAAACCCTATAAACTTTTGTTTCATCAACTTTTCAAATAAGTATAATTTAGTCCATTTTAATATTAATTCCAGCTTTAAATTTTGTAATTATTTCAATTTGATCCTTATATGTTATTTAATTTATTTAAATTTTACTTTGTAATTTTATGTTTGTTCAATCTTAAAAGTACATTTTACTTACATATATTATATTATAAGTATAACATATACTTATATTATATACTTATATAAGTATATACTTATAATGAATGCATAAGTATAATGTGCATTATATATAAATGCATCATATTATTATAACATTCATATATATATATATATATATATATATATATATATATATAATGTATTCTTATATATACTTATATTATATATACTAATATATACTTATATATATATATATATATACTTATATATGTAAATATATATTATAAGTATAATGTATACTTATAGTATATACTTATATAAGTATATTCTTATAATGTATGCATAAGTATATTCTTATAACGTATGTATACGTATAATGTACATTATATATATATATGCATCATATTATCATAACATTCATCATACATATTATATTATTATATAATATATATGTATGTGTGTGTATGCATATTATAGTTGTTTCAATTTTTTCTCAACTTTTGAAATGAATGCAATTTAATCTATTTTACAATTATTTCAATTTTATCCTTGCGTGTTGTTTAATTTATTTAAAATTTAATTTGTAATTTCTTATTTGTTAAATTTAGTCCTTAAAATTATATTTGTATATAAAATTGGCCCATACTTACTTATATCTTTGTAATTTACTTCAAACCCTATAAATCACATAATAAACTTCATTTTAAATTCTATAAATTATATCATAATCACCAAATCCTATAACTTTTGTTCACCAACTTTTTAAACGGATGCAATATAGTCTATTTTTATATTAATTTCAACTTCACATTTTATAATTATTTCAATTTGATCCCTCATTCATGTGTGTTGTTTAATTTAGTTAAATTTTTTATTGTAATTCTATGTTGGTTCAATTTAGTCCTTAAAATTATATTTTTTTTATCAAAATCGACCCATATTTATTTATAATTTACTCTAAATCATATACAATTACAAATTACAATTCGACACTCATGAAAGGCGAAAAATAATTAACCCAAAAATGACCCGACCTAAAGTCAATCTGTATCTGGTAAGATCTGACTTGAATTTTGTCTATCAATGATGTGACCTGATCTGAACCAGATCCGGCTGAAGTCCATCAGAGCTTAAATTAACCTGGTATTTATCTGCTTTGAACCTGAACTTTGACCTAAATTGGCATCGATCCGAACTGAAACTAACCTGACATGAACTCGAACCGAATCTAATGTCAAATCAACCTGAAAATGACCCGAAATAATTTAACCTAGACCCGACCTGATACGAGTCAAATTGTTACGATTTTCGATGAAGCTCAATTGACAATTGAATATTGCCAAGAGGGGTTGAAATGGATTTGAGAAAAAATTTAGGGATTAAAGAGATTTAAAAGATGAGAAAATTGATGCACAAGGATTTATAGTGGTTCGACTTCTTAACCAAGTATAAATCCACTACCTTAGCTTCTCACTAAGGATTTTCTAACAAATTCACTAATTTGTTCTTTCTTTTTCACAGTATAAAGAGATAACTTTTACAAATTCATATCTTTTCAATGGCTAAGATAGAACCGCTCCCCTTTTACAAAGGTAAAAAGAATGTAAACAAGAACACCTCACAAGGTAGGTGTTTACAAAATTAAGCTCACTAAAAACACTAATATTTACAAGAGAAAATAAACTAGGAATAAAAAGCTCTTCTCTTGTGTTTGATTGCTTTGATAGGTGTTCTAACCCTTCTTCAAGTGTCCTCAACTTGTTTTTATAGGTCAGAATGTGTGTGTGGTCGTTTCTAGCCGTTGGGGATGATTTGGAGTCGTTGGGGATAATTTTTGTGCAAAATAAAACTACCCAGTATAGGGAGTATCAGTACTCCATTAATGAGTATCGATACTTCCTTTATAATATTTAAATCAATTAGCTGTTACTAGCCGTTGGGCTTGACCAATATCGATACTATGATCATGGTATCGATATTACTGTGTAAAGTAGTATAGATATCTATTTTGCATTATGGAATTTGAGATAATTGGTAGTATTGATACTACCTAGAGAGTATCGATATTTCTCTTACCTTTGGTATCGGTACCACATTAACAGTTTCGGTACTGTTCATATAGTATCAATACTGTAAGAACAATATCAATATTACATACCCTGAAAATCAATTTTGTGCTCAAATTCTAGTTTAATGGACTTTGAATTATTTTGAAACCTTTTGAAAACTTTGAACAAATTCAATTCAAGTCCAAAAAATATTTTGCCTTAATTTGTTATTTTAAAATATTATTATAACACATGGTTCAACACAAACCATTAGATTGACCTGGCAGAACCTGTATCTGGTTTGACCTGACCTGACAGAATCCAACTGAAACCTGAACGATTACATGATTTAACATGGAATTAGAAAACACTTTGAATAGATGGTAAAAGGATTTGCAAATTTCGATATCGCTAGAAAACTCCTGGTTTTAACCGAGACAAGCAAAGAGAGAGTTCCAGTGAGGTGGACTCAAGGTTCTTTGACGACACTCCAGTTCCGGTGGACCCAAACCTACCGATGATACTGACTGTTAGCGAGGCCAACAAATCGACAGTAGCTTCGTTGACTTTTTACCATTTAATTTATCCTTCATAGCTTAGTTGAGCACTTGTTTGCTCAAAAGCGGCGAGTTTTGGTTGTTACTATTGTCGTTATTGAAATTGTTGAAAATATTACATCAAATTAATGAATTGGAATCCAAGGCAAATATTTTGAGACATATAGTGAAAGAGCCAAGTGGAACATGAGAGTGTAGGATGATAACAGGATCAGAACCAGACATGTTTTGATCTAATTTGATTCAACGTTTTTAGGTTGTTTTTTTTTAAATAGATTTGAGTTGAGCCGAGTTTTTTATAAGATATATTCGGGTCATTTTATTTTTAAGTTGAAAAATACTCGGTACGACCTAAAAAATAATGTATTTATACCTTATATATTTATAGATTATTATAATAATACCTATCTATATTGTTTTTTAATTAAATTCATATTTTTATTGAATAAAATTATTATTTTTTATAAATATATTTGTTTCGAGTTATGTTAGGTTGGGTTCAACTTTAGATTTTATCTAAGAAAGATGGGTTGACCGAAAATTTAACACGACCGACTCATACCCGTCTTGACGAGAGAGGCACTTGTCCCCTTCTAAAAAATTAGTTAAATTCAATTATAAATCCTATAAGTTTGAATATTTGTAAAATTAAACTTTTTAGTTCACGAGTTTGATAAAATTGTGTATAATTAAAAATGTTTAATTACATTAGAGTTAATTGCAATACATACCCCTAAATTATAACTTTTATTTTAAATTAGTCCCTAAACTTTTGAATATTTTAATTTCATTCATAAACTATTATTCTCGTTCTAACTTAATCCCCAAACTTGTAACATTCAAATTCACCCTCAAACTATGACCTTTATTCTAAATTAGTCCTCAAACTTTTGAATATTCTAATAATATCCCCTTAAGTCATTCAAAACTTCAAAGTTAAAATTAGAATATTTAAAAGTTTAGGGATCAATATAGGGGATATTATTAGAATATTCAAAAGTTTGATCTTTATTTCAAATTGAGCCCTAAACTTTCTATATCTGGGTATTTTAAACAACATTCTATGTCTGGTACAACCAGAATTGTGAGGGACTTATATCCAATGTAGGGGCAATATTTTTTAATTAAATGTTAAGGTGTTTTCTTCAATCACAACTCATACGTGAAGGAGACTGCTTGCTCAGTTGCCCTGGATTCTTCAATGAACGCTTTTAAGATGTGGAAAGGTACCTGGTGGCATAATTAAGACATCTTTATCCCGAACTAAAATTCCCGACACTCATGTGGAAAGCATATTTCATTCTTGCCATGGGATTCAACTGAATGGAAAACTCAACTAACCACGACTTCCATTGTGAATTTGCAGATATGGATGACAGTTCCCAAAGCTCCAATCATCTTTTCAGCATTGCATTTCTATTTGTCCCATTAAGTATTTTAGATGGATACATATTTGCCTCTTTTTGTTGATTCCTGTGGATTGGTTCAGTAACAATTTTCTAGCTAGAACAAGACAAGCTTGATGCTATAGAATTCTGAGATTTTACATTTTCAATTTGGTGATAAACATTTTTACATTGGTTCTCGTAGAAACAGATAAGGTTGATGCCAAAATCCAGACATTTTCCATTGTAGAACAAACAGATCTGCCGCTTTACATGTCTAGTTTTGCATGTAAACATGTGCAGCAATCCTGAAACAAGAAGACAACATAATCATTTAATTTGTCTCTAAACATCTACTTACAAATTACAATTGCGCTTCAACAAGGATCATCTTTTTGTTTTCTTCCTAACCTCGTTTCTGTGTATCATTATACAAGTTTTTTCTTAACCAAGTTTCAGATATCTGACCTTTACAAGCAGCAGCAGCAGCAGCAGCAATGGATCAAAAGCTTCTCAATGGAGGATTCACGTCGTGGTTTTTGTTGTTTATCGGCAACGAGAATTTGCCGCTGTAAGAAAATGATCTTAGGAAAATTGGCTTATTTTGCTGAGAATAAGATCTACCGATAGAAGAATGATACATCAATCTCAGCAAACTTTGATTCCCTGCAGCTCTCCTTGGAACAATCCTCAAGCTGGCTTCTTTATCTGAGTTACCATTAAGGAGGCCATGGCTGATCAGAGAAGCTTCAATAGAATTCAAAGAAACCGATCTTCTCATAGGTTGAATCCCATCATCTGTTTTCGCAGCTATTTCCTCTTCCGCTTCCCTTATTTCACTTGTTCTACCACCATCAAATTCTTCCATAACCACCGCTTGAGTTTCTTCAGCTCCTCCAAAATCTTCATTATTTACCTCAGACGATCCTCCATTAGCAGCGTTGGAAACAATAGGTGCTCGGCACAAAGGACAATTGGTGTGCGATCTAAGCCAAGTATCAATACAAGGGATGTGAAAAGCATGGCTGCACTTAGGCAACAGTCTAAGAGTCTCGTCTTCTCGGAACTCGTTCAAACAAACCGAGCAATCCGTTCCTTCAACAAGACCCTCAACTCTCTTATACTTACAAACCCCGACGGAACGGATAATCGAGGGTTGCAGACCGACCGTGTTGATGTACCAGATGGGATGGTCAACGATGGGACCTTGATCTTCGTCCAGGAATTCGTTGCGGGTTTCAGCCTGCGATGATCTCCTCCGAGAATTTGCTCGTCGTTTAGCATAGTAAACTAGACAGCATATAGCCAGAAACGTGGCGGCGAGAAGCGTCGAAATTACGATCACAAACGTGTTGGGTTTATTTGAATCGGAACCAGTATCGGGACTCGGAGGAGGGTATTGATCGACATAAGGTGGGTCACGGGGACAAAAGACGGGGCAAGAATCATAACATGATGAAAGACAGTTCTCGAAACAAAGATTGCAGTTATCTGTTACGGTATCATTTGTCGAATCAGACATCAGCTTTCGATGTTGGAAACCCATTTAGAGGAATCAAATTTAACATCAAAAGCAAAAAGAAAGAAAGAAATGGTGGGGGTGTGGGAGGAGGAGGAGAAAACTAGGGGTAGGGTTGGTGGCTTCAACCAACTACTTTAGTTTATTAGAATAATTGAGATTAGAATATGACTTTTTTATGTGTTTCTTTCTGATTTTGTTGTGGTTTGGATGTTAATGTCATGGCAGCTGGCTTTGGACTACCATATGCCTGATTGAGTTTACACATTGAGTCTGGCTTCAACCCAAATAAGGGTGTTGTTTGATAAATTAAAATATTAAATATTTTTTAGAAAAATAAAATACTAAATATTAAATTTATAATATATGTAAGTGAAACAAAGTAAGTTTCTATTTACTTATTCAATATTTTAATTTACTTTTTTAGCATAGCAATATTTGTATTTGTTGAAAGTATTGTACCCAACATTAAGATAAAGAATCAAACTATAACACCCCAATTAATTCCCAATTTTAAACTCTAAAATTTCACTGAAAATTGTTTAAATCCCTAATTTCTGATTGGTGTCTTATTTGAAAAAACTGAAAAGTTGGTAGCATAATTCGTAACCTTAGAGACTTCATCTACTGAGCCTGCAGTTTACCATTTTCCCTTTTTATCACAATTCTGCTTTTGTTTTAACCCGCGTAGCCGCTCTTTCACTGTTTCCTCTTTTAATTGCTTTTCTTCCTCGCACAGCTTCACCAATCCTTCCCCGTCATTGTACTTCACTCAAACTAAGGTCGCCGACGAGGACAATCGAAGGTTTCGTCGTTTCCCTCACCCTTCACGGTTTTCTCCGGTTTATATCCTTCGTTAAATAAACTGAAACATATCTCTTCCATCGCTTAGCCGTCGCCCTGTATCGAGCATGGTAGTTTGTTCAGATGGGATTCGCTTGAGTGTGGTCGCACCGGTCGGTTAGGGTCGTACTCCATCACCGTTGGCTGCTGGGACATTGGCAGTTCCTTTTCGAGTCAATTTCTGACCGTTGAAAGCCACGGCTATGTGGCCATTGACATCGGTTCCTTTTGTCGTTGTTGTCATGGTTCCGTCACCGACAGACTCATTTTACCCGATCCGACAGTCCCCTTCTATCATACTGGTAGACTCTATATTCGAACCGAAAATACCACTGTCGGTTCCCCTTTTCAAATCGAAGAATATTATTTGTCGTCGTAAAATTTTTATTAATTTGAGAATTCAAAATTTTGGGGACCTAATTCCGGACATTGTAATTTTGTAGGAGACTTTGACTCGGAGTCAAAATTACCTCTTTTTTCGTCGTTACCCGCGAATTTTGTAGCGAACTGTGTTACTTGAGTTGACTTTGAATAATAGTTAAAAATCTTATTTCTTATGTGTTTTTGACGTTTGATTTGGTAATAATTATTATAAATTATTTCGTAGGTATTGATTTAGGTTGATCAACTGTTCAGATTAATCGTGAAAAATGATATTATCATCGGTAGCTATTTGTCGTTGTGTGTCTCTGTCCGATGCTATATTATTTGTGTTGATTGATTGTTTATTTGGCTGGAATATTGAATTGAAAGCATGATTGTTATGTGAAATTGTTTGCTTTAAATACAATTCAAATAAATGTTATATGTTGTATGTTGACTTATCCGATTTAAAATGTATATTGTACATTTGGAATATTTGAATTATGTTGATATGTCAGATTTGGAAATATATGATGTGCATTCGGAATATATTCTTCGAAATATTTGATTATGTAATATTTTACATTAGATTGGATCGGAAGTAGGATATATATATCATTTTTACATGTCATATTGGGTTGGGTTTTGATAGGGGAAGTTCAGTGTATTCACTCGATGGGGTGAATGTCACTTTCGAATTTTGTGGCTCTATCTTTGTGGCGGACCTTATTTTAGATGGTGTGATTGCAGTTAGAGTGGTTCTGGCAAAAAGCTCTTCAGATGGTGTGACAGGAGTATGGGTGGGTGCATAAGCATTACATAACATTCAAATTATGGTTATCATTGTATGATTTGGACTATGATATGTTTTATGATTGTTTGCACTCTAGAGACACACTAAGCTTAATAGCTTACACCCTGTAGTTTTTCTCTTTCAAATTCTCGAGTCAGGTGAATCGGTACTTGATATTTACAACATTATTCATATTTAATTTTTTTCATAGTATGAAATTTTACTCGAATTTTCTATTTCACATTTTATTAGTATTTTATTTAGGTAAAAATTATTACATAGAAATATTTTGGGAAATTGGACATTAATTTTGTTTTTGAACATTGAACTTGAACTTTGGTTTTGATATACATTTGTTTTAAGTTTTTAATTGTTATTTAATTTATATCGGTTACATGAAGCATTTGGAATAAATAAGGGCGAAAGATAATTTTAATACATTTTTAATAACTTTTGGGCTAATTATGGGAGAAATAAGACAATGTGCCTTCAGGGTCCGACCAATTCCTTCTAGGTCAGGTAAATGGAGTTACATTTAATAGTATCAGAGCCAGGTTCAACTCTCAAACTGTGGAGTTCGACCATAAAATGTTTAACCAAAAATTATTTTTACATGCATATAAATATTTTTGGGTCAAAATGAAAATCTTTGGAATAAAAATCATTTTCATTATTTTTAGTATTTTGAAAAGGTTAAATAAATATTTTAAATCGAAACTTCAAGTACCAACTCTAATATTAAGTATTATTTTTTATAGATAGTTCTTTATGGCACTTCATAAAAATTATCGTTTAGCGACTAGTCAAGGTCGTACTACTCATGTTAGAGTTAACCTTCACCCTCGATGGGTCAAACCCAAAATCCGAAGGAAGTTAATGAGACTGAGAGAGTTGAGCTACATGTGGATGATATTTGAGTTCAACAAATTGAAGGTGAAAACTCACACACACATCAGATTCGGGATGATGGGTTACATGAATCCGAGGACGGTGAAACCTTTGGTGATGATAACGCTACACTGAAACGTGAATTACTTCGTTATCTCTGTCAGATTGAGGGTGTTGGGAAACCTATTTCGATTGAATTATTAGTTTTCGAGATAACTATGTTTGTGGGTAAGACCAGATCTGACCCGCCGATCGTAGGTTGAGAGCTATCACATCACTGTTAGGCGGTGAGACTAAGGATTGGTGGGAGTCTTAGTGGGATACTGTCCCAAACGGGCAGGTCACTTGGGAGTACTTCCAACTGGCTTTCCGGGATCGCTATGTGGGGGTTGAGTATTTGGAAAAGTGTTAGAATGATTTTCTAAATCTAAAGCAGAATGATACGTCGGTGACCGATTATGAGATTGAGTTCTTGAGATTGATCAAGTATGCTCTGGGATTGATTTCAAATGAGAAGAAAAAGTGTGATTCATTCCTAAAATGTATTCGCCCCTTGATTCATTCAGGTGTTACCTTACACCTTGACACAATGTTTAATAATTTAACTTCTTGGGCCAAGACTACTGAAAAGATCAAGCCATTATCGTCGGGACCTAAACCCTAGATTTTTTTATAGAGCTAGGAGACAACCATGAAAACTCACTCAGACGGGATATGTGAATCCGTTTGGTAAAAGATCGAGAGATGATTCTAATTCTTAAGAATACACTTGATTTAGTCCGACGACATCTATCATTCTGACTGTTAGTGTCGGAGGTTCGACTGATACTCATGGGGTGCCACAATATTCATATTGTCATAAGAGGCATGTAGGAGAATGATGGAGAAATATTAGAACATTTTTCTATTGTGGGTCTTTAGAGAACCGTTTCAAGGAGTGTCCTCCTCCGTTTACTAGTTTGTATGATCCTAGTATTCTTAGGCTTTAGTTCAGACATCAACTTGAGCTATAGACTAGGCTAGGTCAGCTAGTTCTAGTGTGACTAGTAAATATACACCAATTCAGAGTAAAGCTTTAGAAAGTCTGTAGTGAGGCAACCTCAATTGGTATATGCTACTCAGAGGTATGAGGATCGAGTTGAGCCAGGCGATATTGAAGGTATTTTCTTTAGTCATTCTAATTTCATTTTGGTAAATTTTTTAAGGAGTGAAGAATTGTAACACCGTAATTAAATCCCAAGTTTAAACCTTAAATTTTGGGGGGAAATTGTTTAAAATCATTAATTTCTGATTGGTGATTTATTTGCAAAAATTGAAAAGTTTATAGCATATTTTGTAAACACTAGAGACTTCAAGGAGTGAATTTTTAGTTTACCATTTTCCTTTTTTTTTTATCATAATTCTTCTTTTGTTTTAACCATGCATGGCCGTTTTTTCATTGTTTCCACTTTTAATTGCTTTTCTTTCTCTCCTTGCTTCACCAATCCTTCTCCGTCATTGTACTTCACTCAAACTAAGGTCGTCGTCGAGGACAATCAAAGGCTTTATCGTTTCCCCTACACCTCACGATTGTAACTTGAAGACACTAGTTTTTATTTCATTTGTTTTATTTATTATTATTATTATTATTTATTATTATTTTATATTTTTATTATTAAATAATTAATTAATTTTAATTACATTTCAGACCCAAACCTGAGGCCCGTTTTACAAATCCCAGAGCCCAAACATGGAGGCCCGATCAGGACAAACCCAACCTAAATAGCCCAACAGTAACCCTAAACCCATCTAGGGTTTATATCATCACCAGCAGTCGCCAACTCCACATCACCATTGGATCTGACTTTGATCCAATGGTCCCCAGAAGGTCCAGCTTGAAACCCTAGGGTTTCATAACCCTAGGTTATCATCTCGCGCCGCCGCCTCAGCCAGAAGCTGCTGCCACGCCTCCACTACCAAGTGACCCAACCAGCAGCTGCCAACGCCACTGCCGACGCTCCACCAGTGCCACGCCTCCGACGAAGACTCTATAAGACTCAGAGAAGCCACACACGTTGAAGTCTAGAGTGAGCCACCACTATAGTTTGGTGACTCACCGAACTTTGCCCTATTATCCGGTCTGAAGAGGACACTGTGGTGGCTATAAAAGCCACCACCGAACCTGCAAAGAAAGAGGGAGGGGACAGAAACAGAGAACAGAGACGAGAGAAGAAAA